AGTAATTGAACTTTCGGAAAAACATGACGAAGCGTTGTGTGACCATACAGACGCTATTCAACTTTTATTAGTAAGGAAGAGTATATTTTATGTTGGTAGAAACACAATAGCATAGACTAATGTTTTGACACCCTGTTAAAATTTTTATTAGTCATTTATTTTTTCCTGACCAAACAGATACCATAATAATATCTTTTATCTATTCTACCCATATTCTGTAAGTAAAATAATAAAAAGTTTGAAAAGAAAGAAATTACAAGTCCGATTTACCTAAACAAATAAATTAAAAATACTTGCGGATCAAAAGTACTCAATCATACTACAATTTACGAAAAAATCACGCGTGACGCATATACGTCAGTGGGCAGTCAACTGACATAGACCCGGCGTCTACGAGTGCCAAAGCACGACTGATTTATGCCATTTGATGCACCCGATTTTATAGTATTTTCAAATTAATTTTTCATTTGAAGATTGAAGATAGATATTTTTTCTTTTTCACACAATAATAGTACTATGTTTCTTCTTAAGTATAAAGTAGTTTATGTTGCCAAATGACTTTTAGATTATGAGATGTGACCTGTTTTCTTGCAGTAATTTTCTCGAATTTTGACTATCTTAGACATGATAAAAATGCATTTTAATGAATTAAACATCAAAATTTTCTCAATACACTTTCTTCTTCAGGGTATGCTTATTCTAATGAATACATTCTATCTTCTTACTTAGAAATAAATTTGTTGTAATATTAGTTCAAAGTTGTGCCTTCGCGAGTTACCTGGAAATCGGGCTTTCAAAATTCGCTGTTTTCGTAGGCAAAAATCAAATTTGAACGAGATTTTGTCAATAGACATTCCGTAAAAACGTATGATAATTACGATGATATAAGTCAAAAGAAGCTATAACAATAAATTATATGACTAAAATCATTTCGAAATCTGCCAAATTCTCGATTTCTGCATGAAAAATGTGACAACGCTCTTAAATTATCTTACGACCTTTCCCGGGACTCAAACTATCTCTATACCAAATTTTATCTAAATTAGTTCAGCGGTTTAAGCGTGAAGAGGTAACAAACACACATTTCTGCATATAAAAGTATAAATTAGCATGCAAGTATATTATGCATTGGCCCCATTGCAACAAAGGCAAGGCAAGCGGCTCGACAGCGCGGCCCGCTCTCGAACACGTCGCACTTCACGAGTAAACAACACGGTGCTTGCAAGTTGTAACGTCCATATAATAAAGGGATTGATGTGTGCTAACACGATCACTACGTCCATACCAAATATCTAAATTGGTTCATCCGTTATTGATTTCCCATACAAACTTCCAACCCCCTTTTCACCCCCTTAAATGCTGATTTTTGGAATAAAAATTATCCTATTTCCTTTCCCGGGACTCAAACTATCTCTATACCAAATATCTAAATCAGTTCAGCGGTTAAAACGTGAAGAGGTAACAGACAGACACATTTCTGCATATAAAAGTATAAATTAGCATGCGACTCTGCATTGGCCCCATTGCAACAAAAGAAAAGCAAGCGGCTCGATAGCGCGGCCGGCCCGCTCTCGAACACGTCGCACTTCACGAGTAAACAACACGATGCTCGCCACGTCGGTAAAAGGGATTGATGTAGCTCTGACGACTACTATATCCATATCAAATATCATCTAAATCGGTTCAGCCGTTATTGATTACTCATGCAAACTTTCACCCCGCTTTTCACCACCTTAAAGGCTGATTTCTGGGATAATTTCCACATATACAAGCATGCAAGTATGCATTGGCCCCATTGCAACAAAGGCAAGCGGCTCGTGTGCGTCAGAACCGCGGGTGGGGTATCATGAAATCGAATGAAACATATTCTGGTATTTAGTAGTGTTTTACTATTATTTGATAGCGAAGATAAAAATTTTAGTACTTATCTATAAACAAAATTAAACGAAAAACAAAGTTCCACCGCCAACCTGACGTCAGGATGGCGGGTGGGTAGTTGAACGGTGTACAATACTTAGAAACTGTAAATGCCAATTTTTAGTATCTCTTCATTAAATAAATAAAATAATGTTAATTCTTATCTACGCCTTTTTATTTACTTGTGAAATATATTTTTTTCAATGTCGGAAGCCATACAATTTTTTTTTTGTTTAGATTCAAAAGTTCTCTGATTAAAACAGCATTGAACGATAAATGAGGTGCACTGATATTTAATACATATCTACAAGTATTGCATAGTAGAGTAAAAAGATTTAGTAGTTCTACTAAATACAAGATGAAACGATTANATGTGAACCAATGGATTTGAAAATGTGAAATTAATAGTTGTTACCAATGGATCCTACTTTAGGATATAATGCATTGAGAGTTAAGACTAGACATGTGGACCATCTAATTACTACTCATTTTGGGATATGTACGTGACATAATTTGCAGGCAACTATTTTAATCATGTGTGCTACAAGTAATGATTACTGGGTCCTATTTGTGAACATTTACATATTGGTTGACTATATTGAGAATGAAATGTAATGTAAATTATAATGTTACTGTTAAAGCAATGGTTGAAAAGTAGTGAAAAGTATGCCGAAGAGCAAGCAGTGCTCACTTAATCGTGAAATGGATGCTGAAGCTTAAGCGGTGCTCACTCAGTAGATAGCTGAATTATTTTAAAACTACATTATGAGTAAAATAAAGAAACGCTGGTCTCAATGCGACATTTTTATACGAGTTACTGAATTGAAATGGAACGCTAAAGTTTATAAATCTTATATTATTATGAGTGAACAGGAGGCCGAAGTGCAAGCGGTGCTCACTTTAATTGTGAAAGGGATGTCGAAGCACAAGCGGTAGTCACTCAGTACCTGAATTATTAAGAATATGTATATTGTGAGTGAAAAGGGGGCAGAAGTGTAAGCGGTGCTCACTCAAAAATGTGAAAGGGATGTCGAAGCACAAGCTGCGCTCACTCAGTACCCAAGTTAATATTAAGTATGATGTATGTGATGAAATATGACTTGCAAATAATGAATAAATAAATATTATGAATATACATATTATTATGAGTGAAAAGAATGCCGATGCACAAGCGATGCTTACTCAGTTTTTGAACGAGTAGAATCTTAAAGGGATTGGTAAAGAAGCCGGTTCGATGGAGATTTGTTACAGGCACTATACAACATGAGAACTTGATATTATGTCATTATTAGAGAGAAATTATGATTGTATTCAGTTTGGTTTAATTTTAAAGTACCTACTATTATACATAGAAGCAGTAAAGATGTGTATGAGAATATTAANACAACATTATTAATTAAAACAATATGATCAATGAATGTTATGAAGAAAAAAGATCTGAAAATAAAAATTATGTATTTTAAATGGTTCTTGGTAGTAACAGTATTGATAAAAAAATTATGATTACTAACTGTTATGAGCTCCGATGGTAGTAATAAAAATGTATGAATAAAAAAAGTATGAAAAATAAAATTATGAAGAGAGATTATTATGAACACAAATCGGTAGTAAGACAAAGAATAGGATTTAGAATTTTATGTGAGCCAATATAGAACCGGCCGCGCCATTTTCCACACCGCCCACCTCAATAGTTAGTTCCGATTTCATCTGCCCCCGCCCCCTAGACAAGTTGCATTTTTTGGACGAATCGAAAATCGAATCCGTCAAAACGTCATACAAAAAAAGGCTTTTCGACTATTTTACGACTGGTTTGCGATTATAATGTGCTCTTTGGCTAGGTCTAGACTCTGGGTCTAGACCATGAAGCTACAGATAAAAATGGAGGGCAAAGTTGGGAACAAAACTTGAGTCAAATACCTACTTATCTCTATCTCGCTCTCTGTGGGCCGACCTCTCTTTTTAGTGTGAACTGTAGTATTGCTATCTTCTTATTTAAATCTCCTTGTAAATTCTTCGAAATAGCCAATTCACTAACCAAATAAGAAGTTAAATAAATAAATAATTAATATTTGAAACTAAGATTACCTAGTTAAATAAAAAATCACAAAATTGTCGGCCATTTAGGCTTAATGTGTTGGCGAATCAGGGAATTACAATCCCAATTTCTGAGGTATCGGTAATGTGGCAACATCGGCCGAATCCGGCCCATCATGGCGGTTGTTTACTATGCAGTTGATTTCGTTTGAGATTTTTCAAGGGACGTTATCATTGTTTTGTCTGAAGAAATGGTGCAAAATTGTATAGTGCGTGGTTGCGGTAGTTCGTGTTGTCCTGGAAGTGATATAAAATTCCACGCGTAAGTGTTTATTTCGTGATTTCTGACAGTGGATCATTGTTAACATATTTCTTTGTATTTTCACAGTAATTACTTCCTAAAACGTTTTACCAGTATTTAAACTTATTATTAAATGTTACATATGTCAAGAAAAAGAAGATTTTACATTGAGTTTCATTGACTTTGAGCAAATTTAAAATTTTTGTTTCTATAAGACATTTTGAAGTAGTATGACCATATTGAGGATATATCTGGGACTTTCTGTGGGACCTTACTTATCTAATTTTGCATAATGTTTTCTACGGCCGTTTACTGTAATCAATCCATATCCAAATCCGTCTGTCAACTGCCAAATTAAAATCTGTTTTCTATCAAATATCCACAGTTTTCGATGCCTTTACACTTTCTTAATGTTGTAATTCATCTTAAAACAAAAACATCGAAAACCTTTTTTCATAATCATATTAAGTGCACTTTATCAAGACACACTGTTTAAACGTAAATCAGTCGTTGTCGTCCTGAGAAAAATAAATAAAAGGTTACCCTACTTAGAAAGAGAGAGCCTGCCCACAGAGAGCGAGATAGTGATACATAGGTTGTGCTTCAAGTAGGTATTATAAGTCTGGCCTCCATTTTTATCTTTAGCTTCATGGTCTAGACCTAATGAATTTACCTTTAATAACGTAACGCGTTAAATTCGGACGGCTGTATTTGACATTGACAGACGCATTGCTTAATCTGTGCTGCACTGAAAAAAAATACGGCAGAAAAAGAAAAAAAAGAAACGTGTTTTGCGGCGGATTTTTTTCTCGTGTGTAATATTTTTATTGCAAAATACTGAAATGTGTTCAGTAGAACAGAAACCCGTGTTTCGGGACCTGACCGGCGAGGATCCAGACCCTGAGGTGACGGAGATCGAGTCGCTATGCATGAATTGCCATTCCAGTGTAAGTAGAAAATGGATTGTTCTGGAAGCATGTTGTTGTTTTTTGAAAATTGATGATTATTTCTTCCTATTTCGTGTTCTTTAAGTACTTATTTACATTTTTATGGGTTCTGCGTGCTAAAATAAATACTACACAGTCATGATTCATGATAAATATTATGAAATATGTGCAGTCGAATGACGCCGTATTTTTGTTGTTTCTACCGAAGTTCTAAATGAAATCCCTGGATAATTCATTAAAGACTACAGGATTCGGCTTGATTTGCTTACAATTATCTCTGGAATTATTCACCGCTCGGAAATTTTCGAATTCGAATCTTCTAGATGCATTCCAATTGCACATTCCAAGTCCTTGCAAAGTTCCAATTCAACTGTAATTTTGCGTGTTGCTTTGTTTTATGAGGCGGATTTTCACTTTTACCGTCTTGAGATCAAAAATGGCTGTGGAATCTAGGCTTTTATTATATTCTTGGTCAGAGGGTAGGGTTAGATTTCGTGTAAACTGATTTTCATAATTTTTATCCACCAACTTCATTATTATTCGTTTATTTGCAAAAAGAGGGAGAATTCATGAGTTAGTACTCTGCCACCGATAGTTGAAAAGGCGCATCTAACGGCCGTATTTACAAATAATGCTTATGTGAAGCAGCAAATCGAACGCACAGCATTAAATAGAGCTAGATTGGTTCGTGTGTCACCCTGTGTGTGAGACCCCATAGCAATGCTTGTGAAAACAGGCGTATCACTTTTTTCAAATTTGTGAGTTAACTCAAGAACAGCTAAGAATTACCCATTTAAATTGTTTGAAACTTTTATCTCCGTTTTGATTTGGTGTTAGATGTGCGCTTTCAACTATCAGGGGCAGTACTATCATCTTAAAGATTTAGATATTTATTAAAGACTAGCTTTCCGCCCGCGTCTTCGCCCGCGTGGAATTTTGTCTGTCACAGAAAATCTTTATCCCGCACGTCCTTGTTTCAAATACCGGGGATAAAAACAGTCCTATGTCCTTTCCCGGGACTCAAACTATCTCTATACGAAATTTCATCAAAATCGGTTCAGTGGTTTTGGCGTGAAAGAGACAGAGACAGAGTTACTTTCGCATTAATAATATTGTATAGATCAGTGGTTCTTAACCGGTGGTCTGCAGACCACTGGTGGTCCCTGGAGACATTCCAAGTGGTCCACGAAGTGCACTTGCACGCCTTAGTCAAAACCACTTTTAACTGATTTTTGCAGTTAAACTGGTTTACTTTCGATTATGATTATGAGGTGGTCCCTGACAAGACAGAAATTTGGTAAAATGGTCCCTCATGACTTAAAGGTTAAGAACCACTGGTATAGATAAAGATATTTATTAAAGATAAAGATATTTTTTACAGGGCATGACACGTCTGTTGCTGACGAGGATACCGTACTACAAGAATGTCGTCATCATGTCGTTCTCGTGCGAGGAGTGTGGGTACGAGAACAATGAGATACAGCCCGGAGGGGCGTTCGCTGAATTGGGGGTTAGGTGAGAAAAATCAACATCAAAAATATTATTCAGTTTAGAACTTTAGACCACAATGTTATGTGAGATGACTGAAACGTCATCATATCCTGGAGCTAGAGGACCGCCAGTAGCTCTGGGCAGCAGATGAGTTGATGCTTCCAATGGGAAGCCACTCCGCATGACAGCATCACAGAACACATTTGCTCATAGTCTTGGGACTGATTGCAAATACAGCAAAAAAAAATAAGTTTAGACCACAAGTGGCACTTATGAACGTCAAAATATAGTAAATAATAAAAATAAAAAGATAAGGTAGCCCTTATGGGGCACTTTACATGTCTCCTTATCTTTTGGGCCCTACCAGCGCTTCGAGACAAACATATGGCAAGTGCTCAGTTAAATCGAACCAAAATTATTAGTGCTCTATGAAACAAACAATATTGACAATTATTAAACCACAGGACGACCAATAAATAAATAAATAAATAAATAAATAAATAAATATCCTTGGACATTTTACACTGCGCTTCTAGTCCCAAACTAAGCAAAGTACTAGACAACGGATATAAACATACTTAAATACTTTTTTAATGCCAATGCTGAACTTATGCCCTTTTTCACATCAATCCCTAATTTTTAAGTGACCCCTATAGTAACAAATAACAGGAATTTTGTTTACATAGAGGTCACTTAAAAATTAGGAGTTCATGGTGAAAAGAGGCATTAGAAACTTATTTTTTTGTATTTCTAGATTGGCCAGCCAGTCGATAGGGTAACTGTAAGGTTGATGCCCGTACATGACGTTGTATATTATTTATCTTTTTCACAGATGGAAACTCCATGTTGACACGCAGACGGATCTTAACCGACAAGTGGTGAAAAGTGACTACACTAGTGTGAGAATACCGGAGCTGGACTTCGAGATACCTGCACAAAGTCAGAAAGGAGGTGAGTGAGTTATTGTCCACTACTTTGAGTTTAAGCCTATAAGATCAGAGGTGGCTAACCGGTCGACTATTAGTCCAGTCGATCGTGGCAAGGCAAAAAATACTACATGATTGTGTACTAAACTAAAGCCTGGTCCGTGAGCACGTAGAATTTTGTCCAATGACCCCAAGCTACCCATCCTTATCGCTCGCGCGTAATTATATTGCTGTCGCGACTGTGCGACGGGCGCCCGCAGAGTGTGTGAGCGCGACAGCAACATAATTACACGCGAGCGATAAGGATGGGTAGCTTGGGGTCATTGGACAAAATTCTACGTGCTCACGGACCAGGCTTTATGCTGTTTCACTTAAGATTTCAAGAAGTATGTAAGTGGTAGATCGTCCAGGGTTTCGTTAGTAAACAGTAGATCTTATGTCTAAGCAAGTTGGCCACCCCTGTTATAGATCGTTTCATCCACGAAGACGCGCCCCACCGATTTTTGGTCTCGGTCGCGCGGGGTGCGGGGAGTGTGGTCCGAGCAATCCGTAAGGCATTACTGTAGTGTGCGTGTGCACTCATGGATATTAGCGTGTACCGGTAACACTCAAACATTAGCGGAAGAATGGTGGGGCACGTCTTCGTGGATGAAACAATCTATAGTTAAATGTTTACTTATGCCAATTGCCGATGGGGCAGCAAGGTTCTGGAATGGAGGCCGCGTACCGGAAAACGCAGCTTGGGACGTCCTACAAGCTGGACTGACGACATCGCAAAGGTAGCAGGGAAGCGCTGGACGCAGGCCGCTACCAATCGATCAACATGGAAAGCATTGGGGGAGGCCTATGTTCAGCAGTGGACGTCCTATGGCTGAAATGATGATGATGAAGATGCCAATTTGTTCTTTACCAACAGAGGTGACGACAGTAGAAGGCATCATATCGCGAGCGGTCTCCGGGCTGACCCAAGACCAGAGTGCTCGGAGGGAGCAGCATCCAGAGGCAGCGGAACAGATTGATCGCTTCGTGGCCAGACTGCAGGAGCTGAGGCACCTGGAGAAGAAGTGGACCCTCGAGCTGGAGGATATTAGCGGTGAGGAGTGTACGAGCTATCGTACATTATTACTTGCACATTTCCTTTTTATATAGTTAAATCATTTATTGCTAAGTAGGCGTTAAACACTTTACGTATAAGTTTGACCTAGTTTTAATTCACGCCTGTAGAATCACTCGGTAATAAATTAGTGTATGAGCAGCACTCAAACGGGTCGGTTTTATTTAGCACTCTTCGGAGTAACCCATCCCTCATCAGCAAGCATAGCATAGCATCTATTTTATTTATTTTATTCAATAAGTAGTACACATACATACAGGTTACAGTAATTTACATATCAAAATACATAAACAAAATGAACGATGATTTCACATACTTAAATACTTTATTTTTTGTAAATAATACATTGAAATTTATTTGTCACATATCGTCATAAATTATAGCTTATATGTTATTCTAGGTTATAAAGAATAATACGGTAAAGTTTAGTCAAAATCCGTTCAGTAGTTTTTGCGTGGAAGAGTAACAAACATCCATCCAGTCATCCAGTCATCCAGACATCCTGACATCCAGACAACCAAACTTTCGCATTTATAATATTAGTAGGATCTTACTAAATCGATGATAAATATAATCCCTAAATAAATACTAAAAGCTGGTTAGCCCGCTACGCCTGGCTCAGTTTTAATTTTAATTGTATCATTGTCGGCCGTTTGGTGTAGTGGTTCAGAACGGACTACTATGCCGAGAGGTCCCGGGTTCGATTCCCGGCCGGACAGAAATTGAAATGATGAATTTTAATTTATTTGACGGGTCTGGGTGTGACTATGTATAATATTTATGTAATTAAAAAAAAAGTATATAAGCAGTATATCCGTTAAGCTAGCACCCATAACACAAGCATTAAGTTGCTTACTTTGGGGCTCGCTGGCGCTGTGTGAAATTGTCCAAAGATTTATTTATTTACTAGCTGACCCGGCGAACTTCGTACCGCCTTAGCGTAGAGATTTTCTTAATATTTTTTTCCGTAAGAACCATCCTTGGACTTCCACAAACATTTAAAAAAAAGAATTATCGAAATCGGTTCAGCCGTTCACACGTGATGCCGTGACAACGCGAAACGGGTTTCATTTTTATATATATAGATTATTTATTTATTTATTGCCCCAGGCAACTGCTTCGTGGAGAACCCGGAGGCGCCGCGTAAGGACCCGCGGTGCGAGCGCTCGGACTTCGCCCGAACGCCGGAACAGAATCACGCGCTCGGCATCTTCACACGGGACGAGGTCGGTGTACAACCCTACGATAGCGAGGTGTGCATGGGAAAATGAAAGCTATTTCACAGGCTATAGCATCGTTTATTGAAATTCAAAGCTAAGCTATGTGAACCTAGTTGAACCTAGCTGAACCTGGGTGGGCATACATTTCCAGGGGGTACATAAAGCCAGGAAAAAAACAAATGTTAGCGCGAGCTAAAGGAGCACAGCGCCATCTGTTATCCCAAATATAAACTATGTTTTACTTACCCATTGTTCTTGGTGGACTTGCTTTTCACTTGACACTCGAAACTTATACAGTCGGTATTGGCTATATTTCACCGGGACACCATGGCGGCGCAACCAGTCGCCGCTACCTACAAAATGTATGCAGCTTTGCGCAACCATACGGACACCAGGTGAGTAACTCTCTATAGAGCTGCATACATTTTGTTGGTAGCCGGCGACTGGTTGCGCCGCCATGGTGTCCCGGTGAAATATAGCCCTTATTTCAATCCACTCCCTTTAAGCTTGCCACCCGGGTGGTGGTTGGCTATAAATATATGGCGTTTATATTCCCATCTACCCCCTTCGAAACTTTGTCACCCGGGTGGTGGTTGGCTATAAATATGCGGCGTTTATATTCCCATCTACTCCCTTCGAAACTGTCACCCGGTGTTTATATTCCCATCTACCCCCTTCGAAACTTTGTCACCCGGGTGGTGGTTGGTTATAAATATATGGCGTTTATATTCCCATCTACCCCCTTCAAAACTTGTCACCCGGGTGGTGGTTGGCTATAAATATATGGCGTTTATATTCCCATCTACCCCCTTCGAAACTTTGTCACCCGGGTGGTGGTTGCCACTAAATTAGTGGTGTTCACCACCCCCGTGGTAATTGGCACCTATTTCGTTGCGTAGATGCAACGAAATAGGTGCCAATTACCTCTTCGTAGTTATAGTACAGGGGCTTACCTATAGTGTTGACGAAATTAAAATAACTTGAAAATATCGAATATCGAGTATGAGTTTTTAGCAATTTACCAATATTATTACCACATTTTGCAATATCAGCATCTCTATCAATAGTTGGGCCATCAGTAATTGGCTATTGTCCAACTACAACGAACTGTCCCATCAGTGTCATTGACAGGGGGCGCTACCGTCAATATAGATGACCCACGTTGAACTGTCCCACCAAACTCATTGACTGGGAGGCGCTACCATCGTTCAACTATATGGTTTCCAACATGGCAAAAATCGGATCCAGCGATCCGGTATTGAGGGTGGCGCCCCGCTGTCAATGTCATGGATAGGACAGTTCAGTATTTTGGAACTATACCGGATCGCTGGCTCCGATTTTTGCCATGTTGGAAAGTTTGGAAACTATACAGTTGAACGATGGTGGCGCCTCCCTGTCAATGAGTTTGGTGGGACAGTTCTGTGTAATTCATCTGTACTGAGCATCATATCTAATACTTTTTTTAGGCCTTGTCTTGCATAAAAAAAACCTGTTTTTTTTTAAAGATTATTAGTGATTTGTTATTACACAAATTACTAATACTCCCGTTAGCCCCTCGTACTTAGCTAAATATGCTTGTGTTACGAGTGAGCTCACCACAATAGTCGAGCGGCGGCGGGGACCGAACCCGCGTTCCCCGGATCACGAGTCGGCCAGTCCGACCCCTTCACCGTTCGGTTATCGTGGCTTCATGTATTTGACCACAATCGCACCTTCAATTCAAATAAATCCTTTCGCAGGTGTCCGAAGAGCCCGAGCCCAAGTTGCCAGTGGCCACAGACTCGTTGTTAACCCCTGCGGACCCGGCCAACTGCACCTATGACGCTATGGCGGGGGACGAGGTGCTTCAGTTCCGAACCAACTGTCCCGAGTGCAACGCGCCCGCTGACACAAACATGAAGCTGACAAGTAAGTTATAGCACAGAATAATAATAAGTACTACGTACAGAAGTTTTACTTCGCGAGGGTATTTAAAAAAATGTATGCTCAATGTCATTAACAATATGGTGTAATTTAGCCTGTCTCAAGAGTCAAGCACCATTTTGTTGACAAACGTCAGTGATCGGCACTGCGCCGAAGCTATAGGGCTGACTTCGGTAAAATGATGTGACGTGAGGTGCCAAACTGCGGAAAATGGCGGAGGAAATACATGATTTAGCATGAATTATCAAAAATAATATTAACTACTTATTTACCTCCTCCTCCTCCTCTTGAGGCAACTTAAAAAAGTACATTCTGTGTTTTTATTATTATTTAGGCAGTTAAATACTGCACAGTATTTAGTACACCATTTTCTTTATTTTCTTCCATCATACACAAGAATACGCGTGCGTGAGTCAATGTTCGCTCGTATGTGAGGCCTTGTCGAATAGTATCCTGTAGGTGGGCCATCGTGCGTGTTTTGTTTTCGATGTAAACTCGCGGAGATGAACAGGCCTGGTTATAGTTCCAAAATACTGAACTGTCCTATGCATGACATTGACAGTGGGGCGCCACCGTCAATACCGGATCGCTGGTTCCGATTTTTGCCATGTTGGAAACCATATAGTTGAACGATGGTAGCGCCCCCCTGTCATTGAATTTGGTGGGACAGTTCAGCGTGGGTCATCTATAGAATAAATGCATCCCCAGACTAGGGATGTTATGGTTATCCGCAACCGTAACCGAAACTTTCGGATATCCGAAACAAAAAATATCCGACCGATTCAAAAGTTTCGGGTAGTTTCGGATGTAGGCAGTTTTAATTGTTTTTTGTATAGTATTTTATGTAAAGGTATAACAGCCTGATTTACCTTTATAATGACATCTAGTATCAAATTTAATTTTTTTATCACTTTATTCGATGTAAAGTGTGCGGCCATGAATGAACCGTGTTGGACAACTATTGCAAATTGCATTCTAAAGCACAAATATCCGTAACCGAAACCGGTATAAATATCCATAACCGAAACTACATATCCTATCCATAACATCCCTAATTTAAAGTATTCTTTGCAGCTTACCGTTTCGTCAATATTTTCAATGATTCGCTATATTTTGTGGAGTATATTTGCCAATGCTGTCACTGCGTCTATGAAGTTTTGGAGGGAGACCGATTGGTCGAAGTCGAAACCAACTGTCCCCTGTGCGACACGACTATAGATCCTGACATGAGGCCACCAAGTAAGTTAGAATAAGAATAAATAAAGTGGGGGCAGATTTTTCTGTTCGGTTTGGTTGGTGGTAGGGCTTGTTCTAAGTCCGCCTGGCTAGCTACCACCATCTTACCTAAGTTTGTTGCCATAACAACAATGTTAACAGCATTGTTGTGTTCCGGCAGTTAGAGGTAAGATAGCCAGTTCCTCTGTGGTTGAGGATTCCGGGTGCAGCTCGCTTCCACCTTCGGCCTGATCGTCACTTACCATCAGGGGAGATACAGGCCAAGAGCTTCCTCGTTGTGGATTAAAAAAAACCTATGAAGCTATGGCTTCGGACTAAGTGCTCCAGTTCCGAACCAACTGTCCCGATTTTTTTTTTTTTTTAAGGGACGCGCGCTGGTAGCTTGAGGAGCTTTTCCAGCTTCACCGGGCAGAGTGGCGAGTACAGAAGGTACTCTAGCCGTTTGGCGATCGTCGGTGCGCGTGCCGACGAGGCCGAGTGTGGGCTTCGCGAAGCGAAGCCCAGGCTCGTCCGCGTCGGTCGCAGACCGACGTTCGCGATCGGGCCGTATCGAGCGCATAAGGCGCCCGATCAGTGGCGAACCCAACTAGAGGGTTGCCCACCGCGGTGTTGGACCAAAGTCCAGCCTACGGCGGGCTCACTCTAGTGGGCCCGATCGAGGGGGCTACGGACGCGGCCTGAGGGCGCCACGGTAGGCTCGGACCTCGGCTCAGGCCGTGTCCGGGGGACGGATAGGGGAGAACCGGCCCGGTACATGTCTGTACCGTCCGAACCAACTGTCCCGAGTGCAACGCAAATGCTGATATAGTCTGGTCCGTCCCCCCACCCCAAGCTACCCATCCTTATCGCTCGCGCGTAATTATGTTGCTGTCGCGCTCGCACACTCGCTGCGGGCGCGCGTCGCACAGTCGCGACAGTAATATAATTACGCGCGAGCGATAAGGATGGATAGCTTGGGGTCATTGGACAAAATTCTACGTGCTCACGGACCAGGCTTTAGTAACATGAAGCTGACCAGTGCAGTGAGTTCGTTCGTTCGATCGTTCGTTTCAGCCAAATGACGTCCAAGGCCTCCCCCAAGGTTTTCCATAATGAACGCTTCTGCGCTGCCCGCATCCAGGCTCTTCCCGCGACCTTTACCAGATCGTCGGTCCACCTAGTAGGAGGCCTGCTCACGCTACGTCTTCCAGCCCGTGGTCGCCACTCGAGAACTTTCCTGCCCCAACGGCCATCGTCTCTACGAGCTATGTGCCCCGCCCATTGCCACTTGATTTGAGCAATTATGCGAGCTATGTCGGTTACTTTGGTTCTCCTGCGGATCTCCTCATTTCTGATTCGATCACGCAGGTGCAGTGAGTAGATGGGATTGATTTAGGTTATAAATAACTTGAAAAAATCCCAATCCCTAAGGCGGGAATCGAACCCACGACCTATCGCTTGCTCGGCAAATGCTTATCCATCTGAACTACTTAGACACTGGATAAACCAATCGAAATTTTTAAGTGTAATACGTACGCTGTTGCGATCGCGGAGATTTAGGTTATTCCCAACTGCCCCCCGTTTTGTACCAACTGTCCCGAGTGCAATGTCTCTGCTATCAACATGAAGCTAACTAGTGAGTTATAGGTTATTCCCAACTGCCCCCAGTTGGGGCAACTGGGAATGACCTAAATACCAAATATGCGCTGTGGTTGAGCATTGAGCAATACTAATATGAAGTTAATCAGACAGTGAATGTGCTAGTTTTATGAAATGAAATTATTTCATTTTTTTTTATGCAAGACAAGGCAGGTATTTGACCGCAATCGCACCTAGTGTTAAGTGAGATGCAGTATAGGGTGGTACATATCTGCCCTGTAAGTGCCTATTCACTCTCCCCTTGAAAACGCCCGGATTATAGTGTTCAGGAAATACAGCAGCAGGCAGCGAATTTCAGTCCTTAGGTGTTCGCATTATAAACGAGTCGTCGAAACGCTTAGTGCGAGCTGGTGGAATGTCTGGAAATATATTTATTTGCATCAAACTTGAGTAATACAGTGAGGTTTTCTAAAAATAGTTTGTTCGTCAAAATCTACTAGCATGCAAAAAAATTAGGTCTTTCCCAACTGCCCCCAGTGGGGTGATGCGGTGGGGGTAGCTAGGAATGCCTTCACAAAAATGTCCCAGCCGTCCCCTGGTTGTGGCGTGCAGTGCAATACAAATTACTAATATTCTTTCTAAAAAAAGTTAAATAATAAATAATTTGTTTGTTCCGGCGTTTCTTCTCAGCACTTGCCATATGTTTGTCTCGAAGCGCTGGTAGGGCCCATAAGATAAGGAGACATGTAAAGTGCCCCATAAGGGCTACCTTTTCTTTTTTTATTATTTAGTATATTTTGACGTTCATAAGTGCCACTTGTGGTCTAAACTGAATAAATATTTTTGATTTTGATTTTGATTTTATTGTCCACAGAGATCCCTCACTTCAAAGAGGTGGTTATAATGGCGACGATATGCGACGCGTGCGGACACCGCACCAACGAGGTAAGGATCCTACTTCCTACTATCCTACTAATATTATTAAAGGCCTATTCAAACCTGAGCGATATTCGCTGCCGCTGTGGGTAGAGGCACAGAATAATAATAAGTACTACGTACAGAAGTTTTACTTCGCGAAGGTATTTAAAAAAATGTATGCTCAATGTTACTAACAATATGGTGTAATTTAGCCTGTCTCAAGAGTCAAGCACCATTTTATTGACAAACGTCAGTGATCGGCACTGCGCCGAAGCTATAGGGCTGACTTCGGTAAAATGATGTGACGTGAGGTGCCAAACTGCGGAAAATGGCGGAGGAAATACATGATTTAGCATGAATTATCATGAATAATATTAACTACTTATTTACCTCTCAGTGTCTTGAGGCAACTTAAAAAAGTACATTCTGTGTTTTTATTATTATTTAGGCAGTTAAATACTGCACTGCACAGTATTAATTAGTACACGATTTTCTTTATTTTCTTCCATCATACACAAGAATACGCGTGCGTGAGTCAATGTTCGCTCGTATGTGAGGCCTTGTCGAATAGTATCCTGTAGGTGGGCCATTGTGCGTGTTTTGTTTTCGATGTAAACTCGCGGAGATGAACAGGCCTGGTAGAGGTACATACCGCGCGGGTTTCGCTCAGGTATTTAGTATCAAGTATCGCGGCTAGAGCGACCTGAGCGATATTCGCTACCGCTGTGGGTAGAGGTACATAGCAGACGGTAGCGAATACCCCTTAGGTCTGAACAGTATTATTACCGCATACCCACTGGGTTTTCTCTGCCGCAGACGGTAGCGAATACCGCTTAGGTCTGAATAGGCCTTAATGCGAAAGTTTGGATGTCTGGATGTTTGTTACTCTTTCACGCAAAAACTTCTGAACGGATTTTGTTGAAACTTTACAGTATTATTGTTTATAACCCAGATTAACATATAGGCTAAAATTTATGACGATATGTGACAAATAAATTTCAATAAATAAATAAGACGTGTCTGTTGTTTGACGTTCGTAAATATTCATGCGGGAGAAGCCGTGAAACGCCATCTATCAACGTGATATCTAACAGGGGTAAAACGAAGTCCACGCGTACGAAGTCGCGGGCGGCCGCTATTTATAATGCGTGGATGGCGTGGATCCCGTTTTACCCCCTTCATCTATCTTACGCGGTTAAGATTTTTTCATACAAATGTTTTTTCCCGCTAATTCCCGCTCCCGTGGGAATTTTGCAATATCCTGTTGTAACTAAGCTTTAAGTTTACTAAGGTACCTGCATGCCTTTCAAGCGTCTAACTTAAGCGGTTTAGATTTTTCATACAAAAGGATTTTCCCGCTAATTCCCGTTCCCGTGGGAATTCCTAAGTATACTATAACCTGCCCAGGAGTATGAAGAATAATTGTACCGTACAGTTTCGTTAAAATCCGTCCAATAGTTTTTGTTTCTATAAGGAACATACAGACAGACAAAAATTTTACTGATTGCATTTTTGGCATCAGTATCGATCACTAATTACCCCCTGATAGTTATCTATTATCTATATATATAAAAATGAAACCCGTTTCGCGTTGTCACGGCATCACGTGTGAACGGCTGAACCGATTTCGATAATTCTTTTTTTTAAATGTTTGTGGAAGTCCAAGGATGGTTCTTACGGAAAAAAATATTAAGAAAATCTCTACGCTAAGGCGGTACGAAGTTCGCCGGGTCAGCTAGTGTTTAAATATATTTTATGTACAGAATTGACCTATCTACAGATTTATTATAAGTATAGAAGATAACCGCCTGCCACGAGTCTCTGCGCCGTTTTGTATGAATGTTAATCAAGGAGTGTTGGTTTGCAGGTGAAGTCTGGCGGCGGCGTGGAAGACAAGGGTGTGCGATTCGAGGTCCGCGTCGCAAACAAAGACGACTTCTCCAGAGATATACTGAAGGTAATTCGAAATTCTTTAAGCCTATGGATACCGACCGCTTCCACCAAAGCGAAATGATTAAATAACCGATCAGATTTCATTCAAACCGTCAATTTCTATCAATCTGAATGACATCTGATTGGTTGTTCTAAATATTTCTTCGCTGCACTCCGCTTTGGTGGAAACGGCCTCAGGTGTGTGCTAATAGACATAATGCAAAATGCATTATTAATAATTATTATGAACTGTCTAATAATTCTAATTTAAATTATAGCGTTTAACTAAGTCGGTGCCTGAGATGCCAGGAGCGGCACGGGATGGGTGACTTTACTATTATGACATGACAGCATTTAAATCTGAAGTCTTGCTGACGTCTGCAGTCAGCAAAAACCTTTCCAACTGAGTAAAATAAATAAAAATTCATAAAATTCATTTATTTTTGCAAATAGGCTTTAAAAAAGCGCTTTTACACGTCCCAATATTAACCCTACCACTGCTTCGGGACAATAAATGGGCCAGTGCTGAGAAGAAGCAGCGCAAGAAACTCAGTCACTATTGAGTTAAGCCCTAAGCCAAGAGTAGCTTACCAGTTACCAGTTGGTGTCACTGGTAACGGATCACTCGACAGTGCGGTAACTGGCGAGCTTAAATACGGCGATAATTCCCAGTTGCCCCCACTCACTGGTGGTAACTTGGATTTTACTTCAACAATGACCTATTTACTTGCTTAATTTACCTATTTTTTTGTATACAACGTACTGTGTAGTCTGGTCGCCGAGCACGTTGAATTTCGTCCAATGACCCCAAGCTACCTATTTTTATCGCTCGCGCGTAATTATATTGCTGTCGCGTCTGTGCGACGGGCGGCAGCAGTGAGTGTGCGAGCGATAAGGATGGGTAGCTTGGGGTTATTGGACGATATTCTACGCGCTCGGCGACCGGACTATAGTTTTTAATGTGTTATTTAAAATATAAATTTTCCCGCCCAGTCCGAGACGTGCAGAATGGAGATACCCGAGTTAGAGTTGGACGTGGGCGGGCGCGCTTTGGGCGGGCGGTTCACTACTGCTGAGGGGCTGCTGCGAGCAACCGTCGAGCAACTGGCCGACGCGCCCGGCGTCGTAGGGGACGCGCCCTCGCTCGCTGCTGACAGTCTTGACACGTGAGTAACTTGATGAACCGTGAGCTATACTAGGTGACACGTGAGGAACCCTTGTGACACTAGAGCTATGCTAAGTGACACGTGAGCTACACATTTGACACGTGAGCAACACTAGATGACACGTGAGCAACACTAGATGACACCTGAGCTACTCTTGTGACACCTGAGCTACTCTTGTGACACGTGAGCAACACTAGATGACACCTGAGCTACTCATCTGACACGTGAGCTACTCTTGTGACACTAGAGCTATAGTAAGTGACACTTGATCTGTACTAAGTGACACTTGAGCTATACTAAGTGACACGTGAGCAACACTAGATGACACTTGAGTTATACTAAGTGACACTTGAGCTGTACTAAGTGACACGTGAGCAACACTAGGTGACACTTGAGTTATACTAAGTGACACTTGAGCTGTACTAAGTGACACGTGAGCAACCTTGTTACACGTGAGCAAACCTTGTGACACGTGAGCAACACTTGTGACACGTGAGCAACACTTGTGACACGTGAGCAACACTTGTGACACGTGAGCAACACTTGTGACACGTGAGCAACACTAGGTGACACTTAAGCTATACTAAGTGACACGTGAGCTAGTATTGTGAGACTTGAGCAACACTAGATGACACGTGAGATACTCTGGTGTCACGAAATCAACACTAGATGACACGTGAGCAACCCTTGTGACACCTGAGCTACTCTTGTGACACCTGAGCAACTCTTGTGACACGTGAGCTACTCATCTGACACGTAAGCGTCACTAGATGACACGTGACCGTCATCAATGACACGAAAGTAACTCTAAAGCGCTCGCACATCGCTCCGCCCAGTCCGAGACGTGCAGCATGGAGAGACCCGAGCTACAGTTGGTCGTGGGCGGGCGCGCTTTGGGCGGGCGGTTCACTACTGCTGAGGGGCTGCTGCGAGCAACCGTCGAGCAACTGGCCGACGCGCCCGGCGTCGTAGGGGACGCGCCCTCGCTCGCTGCTGACAGTCTTGACACGTGAGTAACTTGATGAACCGTGAGCTGTACTAGGTGACACGTGAGCAACACTAGATGACACGTGAGCAACACTAGATGACACGTGAGCAACACTAGATGACACCTGAGCTACACATTTGACACATAAGCAACACTAGATGACACGTGAGCTACTCTCGTGACACCTGAGCTACTCTTGTGACACCTGAGCTACTCTTGTGACACGTGAGCAACACTAGATGACACCTGAGCTACTCTTGTGGCACCTGAGCTACTCTTGTGACACCTGAGCTACTCTTGTGACACCTGAGCTACTCACTTGACACCTGAGCTACTCTTGTGACACCTGAGTTACTTTTGTGACACCTAAGCTACTCATCTGACACGTGAGCAACACCAGATGACACGCGACCGTCACTAGATGACACGCGAGCGTCATCAATGACACGAAAGTAACTCTAAAGCGCTCGCACATCGCTCCGCCCAGTCCGAGACGTGCAGCATGGAGAGACCCGAGCTACAGTTGGTCGTGGGCGGGCGCGCTTTGGGCGGGCGGTTCACTACTGCTGAGGGGCTGCTGCGAGCAACCGTCGAGCAACTGGCCGACGCGCCCGGCGTCGTAGGGGACGCGCCCTCGCTCGCTGCTGACAGTCTTGACACGTGAGTAACTTGATGAACCGTGAGCTATACTAGGTCACACGTGAGCTGTAGTAAGTAGGTGATCCGTGAGCAACCCTTGTGACACGGGAGCAACACTAGGTGACACTTGAACTACACTAAGTGACACTTGATCTATACTAGGTGACACGTGAGGAACTCTCGTGACACGAGAGCAACCCTGTGTGACACCTGAGCTACTCATTTGACACGCGAGCGTCACTAGATGACACCTGAGCTACACATTTGACACGTGAGCAACACTAGATGACACGTGAGGAACTCTTGGGACACTAGAGCTATGCTAAGTGACACGTGAGGAACCCTTGTGACACGTGAGCAACGTTTGTGACAATAGAGCTATAGTAAGTGACACTTGAACTATAGTAAGTGACACTTGAGCTATACTAAGTGACACGTGAGCAACACTAGGTGACACTTGATCTATACTAGGTGACACGTGAGGAACTCTCGTGACACGTTAGCTACCCTGTGTGACACCTGAGCTACTCTTGTGACACCTGAGCTACTCTTGTGACACCTGAGCTACTCTTGTGACACCTGAGCTACTCTCGTGTCACCTGAGCTACTCTTGTGACACCTGAGCTACTCTCGTGTCACCTGAGCTACTCTTGTGACACCTGAGCTACTCTTGTGACACCTGAGCTACTCTTGTGACACGTGAGCAACCCTAGTGACACCTGAACTACTCTCGTGACACCTGAGCTACTCTTGTGACACCTGAGCTACTATTGTGATACTTGAGCAACACTTGGTGACATGTGACCAACCCCTATGGCACGTGAGATACACTGGTGACACTTAAGCTTAAGCAACAATAGATGACACGTGAGCTACTCTTGTGACACCTGAGCTACTCATTTGACACGTAAGCAATACTAGATGACATGTGAGTAACCCTTGTGACACTGGAGCAACACTAGATGACATTTGAGCTAGTCTTGTGACACCTGAGCTACTTTTGTGACACGTGAGCAACCCCTATGACACGTGACTTACTCCCTGGTGTCAAAAGATCAACACTAGATGACACCTGAGCTACTCATTTGATACGTGAGCAACATTAGTCGACACGCGATCGACACTAGATGACATGAAAGCGTCATTAATGAAACGTCCCTGATCTGATCATCCTGATTAAACCTAAAATTTTAAATTAAATTCATAAAAATGTAAACCGACTAAAATAATAATAAATATCCTTGGACATTTTACACTACGCTTCTAGTCCCAAACTAAGCAAAGCTTGTACTATGGGTACTAGACAACGGATATAAACATACTTAAATACTTTTTTTTTGTAAATACATACTTATTATACTTAGAAAACACCCAGTCCAATACAAACAAATATGTTCATGCACACAAATGTTTGTACTGTGTGGGAATCGAACCCGCTACCTCCGGAATAGTTTCCGTTTCGAACCACTACACCAAACGGCCGACTAAAAAAGTATTTTTTCTCCATCTTCCAGGTTCGTGGCGAAACTTAACGAGGTGCTGGACAGCAAGCGGTCCGTCACGATTGTGCTGGACGACCCCGCCGGCAACTCGTATGTGCAGAGTCTCAACGACGAAGACCCCAGTTTGCCCGACGACGGTGAGTCATCGTCATCATCATCATGTGCTGGACAAAGGGGTTGCCAGGTCCAAAAAAAAGCCGGACTCTGTGCTTCATTTGGCCGGACATTTTACCCTAAAAGCCGAACATGTCACGGGGGGANTTAGTGTCATAGCTCACGAGTGAGTACTGTCATCGTATCATCGGTTGCCCAACATAACATCCTGATGCGTGCGCTTCATTATTATTCTGTGGCTCGACTTTCGCCTGGCGCAGTAGGCCAATTAAAAAGCCGGATAGGCCGGACAAGACAATATTTGGCCGGACAAGACCGTAAAAAGCCAAACACGTCCGGCTAAGCCGGACGCCTGGCAACCCTAGCTGGACAGCAAGCGGTCCGTCACGATCGTGCTGGACGACCCCGCCGGCAACTCGTATGTGCAGAGTCTCAACGACGAGGACCCCAGTTTGCCCGACGACGGTGAGTCTTAGTCAAATTCAAATTCTTTATTACTCTAAAGCCCGGTCTGTAAGAACGTAGAATTTTGTCCAATGACTCCAAGCTACCCATCCTTATCGCTCGCGCGTAATTATAATGACCCCAGTTTGCCCGACGACGGTGAGTCAACATCAAAGATCAAAAAACTAACTAAGCTGGCGCGATGCAAAGTGAGTCCTGGCCTCCGACAANTCCGTGCCCAGATCTAGGTATTTGTCCAGATCGATTTGGAGGACCTCGGTCCAGTCTGTTTCTATGCGAGTCCAGTCCGCCGTGTCTTCTTCCGGTTCTGGTTTCGTTCGGATGATTTTGCGGTCATGTGTCAGAGTTATATCTCTGGCCCGTCCTCTGATCACTGTTATTTTCGGTTGCTTGTCTTGTCTTGACTTGGATCATCACACTGCTTGGGCTGGTTCGGTTTCGAGGGTAGGCCAGTCTAGGTCCAAGTCCAGTTTCGGGTCCAAATCCGTGTCCAGATCTAGGTAATGGACATCGGTCCAGTCTGTTTCTATGCGAGTCCAGTCCGCCGTGTCGTCGTCTTCCGGTTCTGGTTTCGGTTTCGGATCATTTTGCGGTCATGTGTCCGAGTTATATCGCTTGCCCGTCCTCTGATCACTGTTATTTTCGGTTGCTTGTCTTGTCTTGACTTGGATCATCACACTGCTTGGGCTGGTTCTGTTTCGAAGGTGGGCCAGTCTAGGTCCAGAGGTGGAATTGTGTAAAGCAATCGTTATCATTTGACAGTTCATAACGTACGATTATTCTGTCAAACGCTTTGTTTAACTGACTTTATCGTACGTTATGAACTGTCAAATGATTACGATTGCTTTACACAATTCCACCTCAGGTCCAGTTTCGGGTCCAAATCCGTGTCCAGATTGTTGCATAAGACATAAATTAAATATAAAATATTATGAATTACTGAATAATGTATTAAAATATGGATAAAATGTATGAATAAAACGACTTTCTTTNGACGGCAAGCGTTCTGTGACCATAGCGTAGTCTCAACTATAATGACCCTAGTTTGCCCGACGACGGTGAGTCAACATCAAAGATCAAAAAACTAACTAAGCTGGCGCGATGCAAAGTGAGTCCTGGCCTCCGACAATAAGAATCTCCAACTCAGTTCTGCCGATGCAAAGTGAGTCCTGGCTTCCGACAATAAGAATCTCCAACTCAGTTCTGCCGATGCAAAGTGAGTCCTGGCCTCCGACAATAAGAAACTCCAACTCGGTTCTGCCGATGCAAAGTGAGTCCTGGCCTCCGACAATAAGAATCTCCAACTCTGTTCTGCCGATGCAAAGAGTGTGCGAGCGCGAGAGCAACATAATTACGCGCGAGCGATAAGGATGGGCAGCTTGGGGTCATTGGACAAAATTCTACGTGCTCGCAGACCAGACTATAGACGGCAAGGGTTCTGTGACCATAGCGGAGAGTAGAGCCTCAACTATGACCCCAGTTTGCCCGACGACAGTGAGTCATCATCATCTAAGCCATAGGACGTCCACTGCTGAACATAGGCCTCCCCCAATGCTTTCCATGTTGCCCGATTGGTAGCGGCCTGCGTCCAGCGCAACCAATCACAGAGCTCTATTCAACGCTGTGTGTTCGATTTGCTAAAGCCCGGTCTGTGAGCACGTAGAATTTTGTCCAATGACCCCAAGCTACCCATCCTTATCGCTCGCGTGTAATTATGTTGCTGTCGCGACTGTGCGACGGGCGCCCGCAGTGAGTGTGCGTGCGCGACAGCAACATAATTACGCGCGAGCGATAAGGATGGGCAGCTTGGGGTCATTGGACAAAATTCTACGTGCTCACGGACCAGACTATAGACGGCAAGCGTTCTGTGACCATAGCGTAGTCTCAACTATAATGACCCTAGTTTGCCCGACGACGGTGAGTCATCATCATCATCTAGGCCATAGGACGTCCACTGCTGAACATAGGCCTCCCCCAATGCTTTCCATGTTGCCCGGTTGGTAGCGGCCTGCGTCATACAAATATGTGCGTCATGCAAATTATAACAAAAAAATAAAACATCTATTTTTTTGGTTTGCCAGATATTTTTTGAAACTATATTGTCTACAAAACTATGTAATCAAACTATGAGGTGATGTATGATCCGCTAGATGGCGGGACGTGGATGTGGGGTCTGACTGCTGCGGGGTTGGAAGATTTTGACATATCTGTCAATGTCATGTCAAAAATAACCAATCATGCATCATTTGGACCTCGCGTCTACGTATTGCCATCTGGCGGAATTTTCATACGTGAAAACCCTCATTAAAAAGTTATGCGCCCCTGCTATTCCAAATGACTATGACATTGGGTTTGTTTACATTTGGTATCGCTTCTCGTTGGCCGTACTGTAGTAGTTTACTTATTTCAATCAAACGCTATAACATCAATTTATTTTTCCAGGCCTCAAGATCACCCGTTACGAGCGCTCGTTTGAGCAGAATGAAGAGTTGGGCCTCAACGACTTGAAGACTGAGGGATATGAAGCCACCTAGCCCGATATCGGGTCTCTATGACACGTCGCTTAGACCTTACAATAGGTTAGGTTAATGTATGACGGATTGTACAGCGCCCCTAGCGGATACTTTCAAGAACTAAAGGATGATGGGCATATTGGGCGTTAAACCAACAGAAACAAAAAGTATACTAAATTAAAGCTTAATACTAGTACTTCATTTCATAGTATGACAACAATCCTGAAATACGCGGGGATACGGAGATAGAGGTCGTTGAATATGCAAAGTTTCCATAGTATTTCACATCACATTAGGGTAATAAAAACAGTATTAGGTCAATTAGATTGCTTTTATCGATCATATTGAGAGTATTGTATCATATCTTACTACAGATTCTATCGATTTAGTATGTATACCGAATAAATCATAATCGATTATTCGATTGCAATAATCGATTATATTGCTGAAAATAAGGATTTGAATTAACAATCAAATGATAGTAGTGATGGTAATAAATAAAATCGATTAATCGAATTGTTAATCGATAAATCGTTATTTGGCAATATCGATTAATAATCGATCCGTGATCGATTATGCGACAACACTACAACTTAACTGGTAGAAATCCTATTGAAACATGACTGTGTTCATGTCATTTCTCTAAATGGTACCTAGGTATGGTCCTACGCTTATAATGTAGAACATGGTTCAAATATACCATTTGCTGGCCCGACTCCTGAACTGTTGGACATAATAATGGATAAATAACTGTATTTAAAATGTAAGTAGATAAGTATATTAATTAATAACATTTTTTGTTTGCGCAATAAAGCACCTATTACTATTACACATTATGACAATTTCCAAGCAAACCCGGGAGTTTTTGGTAGTTATTTATATGAAAATATATTTCTGATATTAAGTTCTAACAAATAATAGTAGTTACATTTCTGTTGGTTTTACGCCCAGATTCCATAGAAAAGTGCCCATCATCCTTTCATAGATTTTTTTGCGTACTCGATATTGAATACCTTTAGCGCATTTTAAAAATGTATGAAAATTTTAGTATTTGAACGTTTCCGCTAGGGGCGCTGTACAATCCGTCATACATTTAATGGCATTTTTGGCGCACTAGTGAGCGCGTTCGATGTAAACACACTCAGCCCACTGAGCGAGTATTCGGAACAGAAATCTAGTGCACTACGCAAGTACGCACTTACATTGTTACATTGTGAATTTTCCGGTAGTTAGAGGTAAGATAGCCAATTTTTATGCAGAACAAGGTAGGTATGTGATACACCTGATGTTAAGGCGCTACCTCGTAAAAGTTTTCGGCCGACTGAATGCCTCGCACACAGAGGGATAGAAATATGATTTCTCAGTGCGAGGAAAGGGACAGCAATAGCGCGCGCGGCGCGGAATAAAATAACGTAAGCGACAAAAATCGGATATCATGTATTTATTGAATAACCAAACACTATTTAAAGAAAATAACTCGACCAGTGCTTAGAATATGTTATTACCTTACCAATATACAAAATTTGGTATTGAAATATTAGCCTATCTGCTTATAAAACGAAAAACCGAGTAATAGAAGGGTCATCTTTTGATTTTTTTTCTATCGAGAAAATTGTTTCCATTCATGTTTCGGCTTCGACCAGACACTAGATTTATTAGTCAACTATGACATATTTCAAAATAAGAACATAAGTATTAAGAAAAGTACGATTAAAACTAATTCTGCGCTTCTTTAAAACGCCCAATATTCGCAAGGCATCACCTTAAGTGAGTGGTACAGTCAGCGTCAAAGTCTAATTGTAACAAAAAAGTGTTGCCAACTATTTTGCTACTTTGGGTGTCACGAACTATAGTATTTGACGCTGAGGTCCAGAACAGACGGTGAAACGAAACTGCAACTGCTAGTTACTTTTGAGTTGCATTTATCTAAGTTTCTGCCATAGCGTCCGTTGAGAGACCACACATGACGCGACCAGTTTGAAACTTTCAGTTTCAGTTTCATTCATCAGAATGATCAGAAAGTTGCAGTTGCGTTTCACCGTCTGTTCTGGGCCTGACTGTACATAGTTTTTGTTTTCTGTAAGAAAATCATTTAGCAATAAATTATTGTTAATTATGTATCAGCATTTAATGCGAAAATAAATTATTTTTTACATTCGTGTATTATTACCACCTGTCCCAATTTATTTTATTGGTTGTATTTTGTATTATTTTTCTTTTTTATTTGGTGAAAAATTTTTTTTATACATAAGGCAGGTATTTGACCACAATCGCACCTGATGTTAAGTGGGATGCAGTCTAGGATGGTATGTCTGCCCTGTAAGTGCCTATTCACTCTCGCATTGAAAAGGCCCGGATTATAGTCTTCTTTAATGGAATATTCTTGTTTTCTCACATTTGAATTTGAAGAACTGTGGTCACATGAGACCGCGGTAACACGTTTCGTATTGTGTCTCAATTCGCTGGTACTTGAATGGTTGTATTTTTTTCTTCTACATCGAGAAAGCTCTTGGCCTGTATCTCACCTTTTTTGTTGAAGTTTTGGTATTTGTCTTCTTATTTTGCTTATGGTCAGAAGTCTATAATATTTGTCTCTTGGGTGGTAATTTTTGTCTTTTATTCGTTTCGATTTGATTTGATTTGAAAAAATGGTTTTCTGAATAAAGAAAAAATAAATTAAAACTGGTCTTATGTTGAAAAATTATTTAGTCTGTCAGGTTAACATCATTGACTGGGGAATATTGCAAAAGAAAGAAAGAAAAAATTGGTTTTGTTTGGTATCTAAGGAGAAAATAAATTAAAACAGGAAATAAAATAAAAAAAGAAGTAATTAAGGTACTTAAGGGTTAAGGGGTCTTTTTGTCTTTTTCGTTTGTTCAGTTTTTTACACATAAAAAATGGGCTTATTCCACTATTCCCCGTTGACAATCCCCGTTAACGTTTATGTGGGACTGTTGAGGTGATGCTGATTCTGAGCGAGCCCTTTTATACTGTTCAGGTGCTCATATTGTAACTTCCGTGTAGCATCAATGTCTTGTGTAGTGATGTAAAATGAAAAAAAAAAAACTTAGCACCGTTGTTTTTTTTTCTAAATTTGTTTTTTTTTCTGCCTTACATTTTAGGCCTGAACCAACTCGTTTCGGCATACTCAGGTATTTTAGTTGATAATCACACTCGAAAAGAACACTCGAATAGCACAAAAACTAATTAATTTGATATTATACTTTCTTCGTCCGTCACACACCCCAACTGCGCTAAGCCAACTACGTTCAAATAAACAAACCTAAAGGGGATTTCTCCGTGTGCAAATGTAATTGATTTGGGGATTTCCCTTTCGTTAGTACCACTCAACCAGAAAAGTATGGTAGAGTTAAAAATAAACCGAAAACTCTATTACTTATCTCAAGCATTTGTCTTAAAAGTTTTGGATTTCGTACTCTTGAAAAAAAAATATCGTCCAGAAAAAAACAATGTTTTTTCAGGTTTTTTTTCAACGTTTTTTTTTCACACCAGAAAAAAAACTGTTTTTTTGCAACACTAGTCTTCTGGCCCTGATAGTCCTATAATATCTGCCCAATTTGAAGGTGAGGGTATAACTATGGTCTCCTCCTCAATGAGGATGAGGAGTCCTCATCATCATCTTCCCTTAGTTTATTTTCTTCACTTTTATAGGGATCTTGAAGGGCTCGAATTGAAAGTCAACAACACTTGTGAATTAAGTTTACTTCCAAACTCTTGACGATTAAAAAATACAAAATTACGGAGCTGTTACAATCGTGCCGGGTGGCCAGAGAGAAGCGTGCTTAGAGCTACATTGCCATAGACAAATAATTTAAAATTTTAGTCTGATAAACATGCCGATAGGTGGCGCTCTAGGCAGGTTTGCTAATACTTTGTTGTTGCCGCTCTGTTTCACCTTTCTCTCACTTCACTTCTATATGGGGGATATAGATGAATCTGGTTTATGTGTCTTTTTAGTAATTTTCCATTCCATTGAATTAAGTACCTACAAATTCCTATTCTCTTCTCTACCGCACCTTTGATCCATTGGGGGCCTTTGCCATAGTTCCTTAAATAAACAGTTTGTCCAACTTTAACTGACCTCACATTCCTGCTTTCATTTTCTTCCATTTTTTTTTATCCACAACGAGGAAGATCTTGGCCTGTATCTCACCTGATGGTAAGTGACGATCAGACCGAAGGTGGAAGCGAGCTTCACACGGAATCCTCAACCACGGAGGAACTGGCTATCTTACCTCTTAATGCCGGAACACAATAATGCTATTAACATTGTTGTTATGGCGACAGACTTGGGTAAGATGGTGGTAGCTAGCCAGGTGGACTTAGAACAAGCCCTACCACCAACCAAACCGAACAGAAAAATCTGCCCCCACTGGGAATCGAACCCGGGACCTCTGCGTCTGAAGCAGGTGGTCTTACCACTAGACCACAGAGGCGGTTAATTCCTCAAGCTGTGGTTTATCTTTGAAAGTAAGACTTGGTTCTGAAATGTCTGTTATTTAATAATTCTGCCGGGGTTTTATCGCTGATGCTGTTTGGCGTTGTTCGTAAGCCATATAACATTGGGCCCACGTTGGGCGCCATTGCAACGGGGCGTCCTAGCTAAAGCCTGGTCCGTGAGCACGTAGAATTTTGTCTCGGTGAATAAATGATCTTTTATCTTTATCTTTTTTTTTATCCAATGACCCCAAGCTACCCATCCTTATTGCTGTCGCGACTGTGCGACGGGCGCGGGGTGAGTGTAATTAATGAGAGACGACACAGTACTTGTGGTTTGAACGATGTTTATTGCTCCGATCAATCGTATTACACTGACTCATTTTACATTACAACTTATTTAAATAGAAGTTAATACATAGAAAACTTATGTGTGTATACGGCACACTATACAAAGTCTAATTAACGTGAGAAACAAATCGGGAGGAGCGGTCACGCAGTCATCACTTCAAGGCGGTGCGTGCGATGAAACTTGGATCAATCTTGCTGCTTGGGCTGGTTCGGTTTCGAGGGTGGTCCAGTCTAGGTCCAGGTCCAGTTTCGGGTCCAAATCCGTGTCCAGATCTAGGTATTTGTCCAGATCGATTTGGAGGACCTCGGTCCAGTCTGTTTCTATGCGAG